TGTTTTTCCTAGAGGCTCCCGCTCCAGGTATTTCTCTAACAGCACAATGAGAGGGTTCTCAGAGAACCTGCCTCGTATAGCCCAGACAGCGCTCGGAGAGTCGGTACATACGAGGAAGGCTGAGCCCTCCTCGGTCTGCACCGCCTCGAGAGCGTGCCAAATCGCATACAGCTCTGCCTTGTAAATGCTGCAATGAGGGGGCAACAGCCAGAAGGTAGCCACTCCCTCGCTATACACAGCACACGCCACACCATTGCCAGTCTTGGACCCATCTGTAAAAATCAGACGAAAACCTGTGTATCTATTTCTAACATCAAGGAACTTAGCCTTGTAGAGGTATGGCAGAGTACACATTTTGGGCAAGTTCACCAGATCGTCGCGGACGAGTACGGCTGGAAAGGTGAAGGGGGTGTCGGCCAGGGGCCCAGGCGAAGCATTGTCCCCAGCGCCAGTCCGACCCTCCCTAAGGACTCACCGAAGTGAATCCCTTGGGTCCCGCACGAACAAAGCCTGTCATAGTTATAAGGTGGAACACCAAAGGCCGTTTTAAAAAAATGATTTATTTGCTTTAAAACATACAGGGAAGATTACAGGACAGAAAAGGTGAGAGATTCCTCAGAAGGATGTCATCGTCCAAAGAACGGGGAGAAATACGCGCTGTTTAAGATAAGCGCCGGGTTTATATGAAGTCATAATGCAGAGTCAGCTGGAGCAGTTCCTTCAACTCTTAATTACTCCATCCCCAAGATTGAAGCTGTCCTCAGCTTGCATAGAGATTTTTGGCAATGCTTCAGAGGCTGGTACTGTAGGATGAATGGCCATTTCCTCTAGTGAAGATTTAAAAAAAAAAAAGCTTCTTATTGAAGTTATGGAGCAACCAAACGCCCTTCAGACCAACGAGTCAGCAAAGGCTGGTGGGTCCAGACGGCCGCCCATCATCTTGATCAGCATTTCTTTAAACTAATATAAAAACCCTAATCCCCAAATATCCTTGCCTTACACTTACGTTAGCCTTCTGCCCGTCACTCTGTCGGTTTAAAATTAAACATTGTACAGTTTTGACAATAAAGTTTCTTCGTTTTTTTGAAAAGTCTAATAATAATATTACCATTGTTGACGTTAATATTGTTGTATAATTGTCAGTATTTTCTTCCAATTCCTCTAAGTTGCATAGACTTTGGATATAAAGTTATGTTTACATGTTTAGCATTAATAATAGTTTTGCTTATATTATATATAAGAAATTTATTAACCATTGGAATAAACTTAATACAAGGTTTGACATGATTTATGACTAAATTTTTACAAGTGGATATTTCTTTATCATCTACTAATTCACTAATACATTTATTTTCAATTTTAATAACATTTTTGCAATAATGTTTTTCATTTATCAAAGTGCAGTTGCCTGTGGGTAATCCGTTATATCTCAAGACTAAGGAGGGATACTTCTGTATAATAATTGTTTCATTGTTTTTATAGACTGGATAGGATAAAAGAAAAAAATGTTTCATAAACAGGAGATTGTAGGGGTGATTGAATAAAATAGGAGATGTACTCACTGTGCATAAAACAATGTACAGTACTTAGCTGCCATAATGTTGCTATTTCGTTTGAAATTAAAGATATTTTGGTGGTGCTGATGATGTTAGCTAATTCTTTATAAGATAAAATGCTGGAATGAATAACACTGAGTTTACAATATTCTAGACTTGTCATTAGGTCGACAACTTTGTTGAAAAGCAGCATAACCAAGTTTTTGAGATAAAAACGAAACTTGCTGGTTATGTCCTAAAGTGTTTGACTCATTGGTAAGATAACTGAAGTGGTTGCTGACTTTTAAATTATTAAACCGGATGAGTTGGACATTTTTATTAAAACTGTTTATTAAGTGCTGGGTTTAGATATTTTCCTTAGTCTTTAATACGATTGGGATGAACTTCGTTTTTGAGCAGATGGTTGCTAGTTTGTTCCTAGTTTTTTATTCTTATCATACTTTACTTTGAAATATTTGGGTTTGTGTTTTTTCTGAAAAGTTGTTTTCAGATAGGGTTGGTCAGGGATTTCTATCTCTTTTTCGCGTGTAGCGTTTAATCTTTCTGTGCGTTTCTGTTTTTTCGATTCTATTTGGTTTTTATTAATTTATGTAATAATTTTAGTTTTGCTAAGTACTCGTGAGTTCTTTCTTTTGTGATTAAATTTTCAGTTAATTCACTTATGAAAGGGTTTCTTGTTATACCAAAAGTAATTTCCATAAGGGTTAATTTTATACTGGAATTTAAGGTGTTATTGAATGCTATTTCTGCCAATTTCATTATTTCATTAGTGTTATAATTTTTATTTTCTAATTGGATAGCATTAAGAATTTCGATTAATGTGGAATGCGCTCTTTCTAGTAACCTTGAGAGTCTGGGTGACAGGGTATAATATAATACGGTTCTATTTTGTATAATTTTAGGAAATCTCTTAGTCCGGTATTATCAAATTATCTTCCATTATCCATCTGTATTATTTGTGGAGTTGGAAATAAAGAAAAATAATCATTCAGGTGTGATTGAATTTCAATCTGGTTCAAACTATTGAGAGGGCATGTGATTAGTTTTTTCGAAAAACAATCTATTATTGTTAGGAATTTCTTTTGATTATAACAGAATGTATCTATTTGTAATCTTTCGAATGGTTTTTCTGGGGTCGGTGTCATTTTATATTCTATTTGAACAGGTTTCCTTTCGTATTTTATTTTTAAACAAATTGGACATTTGTTAATGTAATCGGTTATGTCTCTTAACATCGATGGCCAATAATATTTTCTTCGAATGTGATTATAGCTTTCACTTATTCCATGATGATTTGTTTTACCGATATGGTAATTTGAGATTATTTCTTTTTGTTCTTCTCTATTGGTTATGTCTAGGTTTAGCTTTTTATATCTTTTAATTTTTATAGAATTAAAATGGGCAACAATTAGGTTTTTAAATATCTCGAAAATTCGATCATAGTCGTCACAAAGTGGACCTTCTCTAGAACACAAAACTCCTGGGTTTTAGGTATTGGACACAGAAATTATTTATTTGCTCGGTATCAGTTGAATGTTGGAAATGAAACGTCAGTCTGGTTTTACCAAATATCTTTGTTGATTTAGGATGCTTGTTACCTCTTTCAAAAATTATTTGATTATGTTCAACGTTAAGAATTTTATCGTCATCAACAATTGTTATTTGCTGGTTTGAACTTTCCTGTGAACGAATGGTTATAAAACTCGCGCTATCGTTATTATTATTATTATTAATATCATCATCATCATCATTGCATTGTCTGAGGAATTCATCAATAACTTCTTGAGGGTCTATGTCATCTTCTAGTGTATTTAAGGGTTGGCAATTGATTCGAAAAAGTGCATCAGCTACTTGATTAATTTTGCCTTGAACATGTTTAATTTCAAAATCAAACTCTTCTAATAATAATTTCCATTGAATTAATTTTGAATTGGGTTCTTTAATATTATGAAGCTATTGTAATGGTTTGTGATCTGTTTATATCAAAAATTTTGTACCTTAAAGATAGGGGCGGAAATGTTTACAAGTCATTATAGTTGGATTTTAGATTTATATAAGCTCAAATCTGCACTGTATATACATATGTGCAGACATGTTGAACCTATCACTTCTCACAGTCCACCACCATTTCCAGTTTTTGTAATTTACAATAAATTATCGGCAGGTGTCAAGAATCACCCGCTTCGGGTGTTAGAAATCCAGAGTCAGAAATCCGACCAGCCACTGAGGTTAGGCTCTGGTTCCTGTCAATACCTCAGTGAATTCAGCATCCAGCGCATGCATTTTCTAGATCCAGACCCATTCACACTTTCACTCATTCTTACATACATTCTTTCATATTTACATGCCATTCCCGCAAGATGGAGTTCTTGATATTCTTCCATCACCTGTTAAATAACTAACCTAATTGAGGGTCAATGGGGTACTCAATATTCCAACATTGACCCTCTCACACCACATACATTCACTTGCCACTTGCCAGGGGCACAAAAGTTTCAGTATTATATTGTTTTCCGTGACGGTTACATGTCGACAGTCCTCTTGATACGTGAGTGCTTTTCTGCTTAAAATGTATTCCAAATAGTTTGTAGCCCTAATATTATCACCTAAATAATAAACTTTGCTTGCACTTTCAGTTATTTTTAAATGGGGTTCGATTATTTTGTGTTTTTCTGAAAATATCACTGTGGTGGCCGCCTGCAGTTACCACAGTGGGTAAGTGCCACTACCGGTTATGGAATGGTTTTGCCCTCCACTCTGCAGCCAATCAGAGTAGAGCCCTTTCGTGTATAAGCAAGGGTACTGCCCCACTGACTTCAGACTCGTCTCCACAATGAGTTCTCACTTCACACTTCGAGATTTGTCTCTCTGATGAGATCTCACTGCACGCCTTGAGTCTCGAGACTCGTCTACCTGACAAGCGCTCGCAATCACCAATGAAACACTGATATGGAGCCAAGGAATAGCACTCTTTAATTATGTGGGACATATAGAACAACCTTTTTTTAAATGCTGGGCACAGTAAGGCAGAAGTAAGTGGGTGAGGATGGCCCTTCTTCTAATAGTCAGGTCCTTCGAGGCTAACCTATCAAACAGCCATTATTGTTTTGTATATTTATTTTTATTTGTTTAGTTTTATACATTATTATTATTTTACTACTTGTATAAAACTAAATTTATTTCTAAAATATGTACCTGTAAGGGAGCTTTAGGCATTATTAGTACAATACTTTGAAAATATTTTTTATACACTACGTCACGAAAAAGTGGCGGGGTCAAAGTCAACCGAGGAGCAAAGTTGTCCGGTTTCTATTGACCCTTGTTACTCTGTGATCGGGAGGTACTTGTGTTATATCTTGTCTTCCAGACCTCGTTGTCGGACTCGTGTTTGCTTCATTAAAATTGAGAAATTAAAAATCTCTCCTTTCAACATAGAGGGTTTATTTTTCGTTCCAGAAGGAGATTAGCAGTCTGTTAAATAGTCAAAAAAGTGAGTTTTTTTCTTTGACTTAATAATTATATCTTATAAAGCTACCTCATATACGATTTATCTCTCGGGTGGGTGTTTTTATTATTATTTTATTTTGGGGATTAGATGTTCGTTTTTTAACATGTTTTAGATCGTAAAGGAACCAGCCTGGCAGAAATGGATGAGAAAAAGGAATTCAAAAACTGCCTCTTTCTTTCTTTCGACTTGGATTTGACTGGGAACAAATTGTACGAAGAGATGACGAACATCGGCGTTTATGGGAACAACGCGTCCTTTAAACAGTACGTTATGCCGTACAGGGATGTCAACGTGTACGCGCTCAGGAAATCGCTTCTCAAGACGTCAAACCTCTACGATTTTAGGGTTCTGAGGAACGTTTCCACCGGAAAGGTAAGCCTTCCCGGTTACTATTCAAATATTATTCGCCAATTATCCATAAATGCCGATGTAATCGGACTGACTGATTACAACCCATAAAATATATTAAAAAAATACGATTTATTGTTGTTTTTATCATTTAACATAGTATGCTAATATTTAGGCTTATAATCAAGGAGACAATAGGCCTTTTTTTTTCTCCTTCCTCACACAAAATAACACTAAATACGTTTTTGGGAACTAATTTTTCAACTATGAATCATCATTCAGATTTTATCATATTATGCAATAAACTCATAAAAACAGACGTTTTCATCAAAATAAGGACTTAATTATTAACTTACAAAAAGTAAATAAATTTACTACCTATAGAATCATTGCATTCAAATCTATGGATGGAATCTATGGATAAAGGCTTATGCGTTATTTTCTATGTTAACAGAATTTAGGATAAGACAGTACGCGGGTGACAAAGGCAAGGGAGCCCACAAGCCCTGAGCACAGTGGGCTGGATCGCGATTTTAACAGAAATAGACAAAATAACCAAACCCCATTTAAAAAATACAACTGAAATTTTGAGAAATTTTATTATTTAGGTGACAATATTAATGCTATAAACGATTTTAAAAATATTTTAAGCAGAGAAGCTATCATGTATCAAGAGCACTGTCGATATGTGGCCCTCGGAGGATCCGACTCATAGAATAGGGGTCATCCTCACTTGATTAAGAATAGGCTTGCGAGGTTAACGCATGGAGGATTACAACTTTGTGCCAAAGCCTCCCTGTATGTCTGGCATGTAAAGAAAGGTTGCTCGATGTGTCCCACTTCCCAGTTAAGGGTGCAATTCCTTGGCTCCTTACAGAGGGTGGGTAGGATTGCAACCGAATATGAGAATTATGCTTCAATATCTGCGTCCCCGTTCTGATTTTTGGAGAAAACTGGGCTGTTTTATTGCATACAGTACTGATAGCTTTGTGTACCTAATGTTGAGACTATAGTTTGAAATGGTAGCTAGCGGAATATTGAGTACCCCATTGATCCTGAATTAAGTTAGTTAGATAATAAAAGGGTGATGGAGGAATATTGATCACAGCACAACCCTAACGAAGTGAATGATATGTAAATAGTAAAGAATGAATTTAAGAGTATGAGAGTGAGAATAGATTTAGGAACTGATTATGTTGGGGCTGGCTGAAATGACATAGTTGTTGATAGCCACTGGAGCCCCATCTCGGTGACTGGAGGGAAAAGACCTGAGGTCTGCCCCTAGACTGCTAACACCCATGGTGGGTGATTTTCAAGGCCCAGCTGTAATAAATTATAAATTACAAAAGCTGGAATTGCCAGCAGACTGAGAGAAATGATAGGCAAAAATCTGTACGTGTTTTTTTAAAATTAATTAATTAATTTTTTTAATGAGGGTTCACAACAGCAGAGGTCATATAAACCCTCAGGGTGCCGATGTTTTTGAAAAAAAGCCCATTTGTAAGTATGTCGGTTTCGAATGAAGGATTCGAACCCGGGACCTTTACCTTACAGTGATGAGTGCCGTGTCAATGCCTAAACCGTTGTGGCCACCGACGCCCCCTTGTTTGTTTGTTGTTTATTCAATTTGGGTGTGTGGTTGAAAAAGTTGTTTCTTTCTGCTTTCTACAATAATTTTGCCTTTATTTTATATAATCATATGAAATGGGTAATTACAATATCCAAATACATACACAGAAAAGCAAAATTGTCTTTCCACAGAAAAAATCACTTATAGTTAATTGACAGACTGTAGCCACTGACACTTTGCTCTTTCTGCAGTGGCCATAGGAATTTCATACAAGATTTTATAGTGGGTGAAGTGGAGGAGAGTTTAAAAAGTATAAACCAGATATGCAGTTCGTGATGCTCATGCTACATCTTCTGCAAAAACGTGTTAAAAAAATTTCATAAATAAATAAATCATTCATTCATAAAAATATATTACTATTATTCACATTTAATACATATTAAATTGTTATTGTAGATTGTACGAACTAAGACAGAGATTTTTGCATTGAATGATTTTCTGTCTTTCCTGGAAGCCCAGAACACAAAAAATAATGGTATTTGTCTGATGTGTTTTGAAGCATCAAAACTAGTTCCTTTCATATTAATTGAAGCACTTCGCAGGTTAGTAAACACATTTTTTCAAAAAGTTGAAAGTCTTTTTTCTGAAAACACACTTACCTCTACTTATTTTATTTATTTCAGATACAAACTGTTTGATCGTTTCAAAAAAACAGTACGAGCATTTGTTGACTGTTTTGGTTTTGTTAAAGACAAATGTTATACGACCATTCCAAAATTTACTCTACAAACACTTGTTAAAATTTTGTTGAATCGTGATAATGAGAAGTTACATGATGCTCATGAAAGAACTAGGCTTGTGTATGAGGTAAGTTTAAATGAAAATTATTTATTTTGCTTTTTATACGTTCACTTGTTATCAAAGAAAAAAAAATCAAAAGTTGTTAGAAATATTGTAAGTTAGTATATTTGTTACTGTCTTAGGAAAGCAACTACGATGGTTACTAACCATTCCTACAGTTTAGTGTAGCCAGTATTGTTGATCACGTCGTCGCCTTGTTTGTTGGACATATAATTTAGTTTCTAATCATTTAATGTGACTATTCTCTCTAGTAACAAGAATGAAAACACATTACACAATAATTGAATATGTATGCCTTTTCAAAAGATCTTGCTCACAGTTTGTCATTTTCAACTAATTAGAGTAGGAGTGTTTCAAAGTGAATGCATTGAAATTTGATGCATAACACAAAATAAATCAGGCAGCGGGATCTTGTAACCGCCGAGGTTATAGGCAGGGAAATGTGTTTTAGCATTTGAAAATTAGTCCCGAAAACGTTAAAAATCATTAACTTACATGATAACACGTTGACTGCGTCCTATGCATGGCCATTTTGATTGCCCACAGCAGAACCCAATTTGTCATGTAAAATCGCTCTTTGGTACTTAAGCATAGTGTAAATGATTTTTTTTATTAAGTTTATCTTAGTGATATAAATTTTATGACACAACACTTGCACCTCCTACAGCGAATAAACAAAGTAGGCAACCAGCAGAACCTTTGTTAAATTTGGGTGTGTAGTAGTGGAAAAAAAAACTTTCTATAACAATTTTTACTTTATTTTATGTAATCATACAAAATTGGTAAATAATTAATTAAAATAACAAAACATACACATGTCATGGTCTGTTCTTGATTCAACTCTGAATCCTTTTTATTAGAAACAGAGCCCCAGAAGTCTTTATCGAACCTGAATACAACCGATCAGGTGCCTTTTTATAATAAAATTTAATACAAGTTTGAAAACAATTTGTTAATTACACAAGAAAATAACAATTTAAATCAACTAATTTCCTTTTAAACTTTAAACAAACAATTAAAACTTATCAAATTTAAATAAACAGTAATTTCATGCAAACCGTTTGCCAGATCGTTCGGAACAAGGGTGGATGGGTACTCATTGTTTACAGTCAATTGCTGTGTACTGCAGCATTCTATTTTAGGGACACCAACACTTTTTAAATTCTTTTCAGGATCGCACACTTCTTTTGTCTATCATCTATACGGAATGGACTTGTTCACTTCTAGACTCGACTGTCTCTCCCCTCATTCTCCCGATCCTCCCTTATTTTTTTTACTCTAGGCCTAATCATGAAATCTAAATTACAACATTGTCAATTTGAAATAAATTGAAATGTGACACACAGAAAAACAAATTTTGTGGTTTTCACAGAAAAATAAAAAATAACTTCATAAAAAAATTAAATTAACTGACTAGTTAGTGACACGTTTGCCTTCACTGAGGCACCCCTAAGCATTTCAAACAGAATTGGGTAGCAGATGAAGTGGAGGAAGAGTTTAAAGAATGTAAACGGGAGGACGCAGACCATGTGTCCACCATACTCTGAAGCACATGTCGCGCCTTATGCAGTCCAACGTGTTAATGCATTCAGAACTCACTCACAGCTTTGAAGCCCCATTACAGAATTATAAGGCATTGACTCTACTTTTTTAAAATACTTTTATATAATACAATTAATTAAGTTATAGTTGAGATAAAAAAGTCAAAGGCACGAGCGGGATTCAAACCCACGATCTTCGGCTAAATACGCCGCTGCTCTACTACTTGAGCTATCGTGACCTCGATCCACTCAGACACTAACTTCCCATCTCAACCCCACCTTTTGAATTTGCCCTCCTTTTTGCCATCGAGGTCACGATAGCTCAAGTGGTAGAGCAGCGGCGTATTTAGCCGAAGATCGTGGGTTCGAATCCCGCCTTGTGCCTTTGACTTTTTTATCTTAACTAAAAACTTTAATTAATTGTAATATATTAATTGGTCAAGCAGACCACGAAATTAGTGAATTTACTGTTTTTATAATGGTCAAGTTGTTATTAAAAATAATTGTTATTCTTTTTGGTTATTGCTATAGATTGTTTCACATTTGAGTGAAGGTGAAAGTCAGAATAAGTCACAAGATTTAGCTTTGGGAGTACTTCCATTTGTCACTTCCGTTGATAATGTCGTATTGGAGTTAGATAAACTAAAGGATTTCCTTCAGAAACAAAAATCTGTGACACCAATTTTCATTAATCAGATTAAAGTACCAAATCTCCGATTGAAAGCTCTCCGATTAAGGAAGCTTTTAACATCCACTGACATAACGTATGATTCCCTTCAGGAAGCGCATCAAGCGGTATTTATCTAATTTTACTTATTAATTCAACAAAATATCACATTGGTATAATGAATATTTAATTTTTTTTTTAGAAAGCGGATCTAAAAGAGTTGGTCAAGCCAAAACTGGATGAAGGAGTTCCTGATAAAGATGTCACTGCATTGGTATCAATTATAACAGCTCATTTTCAGAAATCCCTGAATCTAAAACTTAAAGTTGAGAATACTTTTAAAAATAAAAACACCAAACAGCCACAAGGTAATTCACAACAACTTGTTTAACGAGCTCAACCTCAAAATCAGTAAATTGTTTCAACATAAGCATATCAAACATAATGAAAGAAAAATAAAACAAGTGCCATTAGTTGTTAACATGTGATATAGTGTGATGGTAAAATACTATTTTAACTTTTTAAGTTTTTTATTCAAACTAAAATTTTACTAAATATGTTTCTGTTTTAATACTTATACAATACTCCTGTTAAATGTCGAGAAAAAATTCAACTTCATTTAAAAAAACTTGACAATCTTTGAAACATTTAAAACCACATAGATTCGTAATAAATAACTTGATGGTTATTTATGACCATTGAATATTTTTGTATTAATTGTATACAAGTAAAATATAATCTGAATAATAATTTTGTCGTTTTGTCACTTTTTCACAAATTTGAATTTTTATTGTTTTTGAATTACATAAATGTCAGTGAGTGACAAAGTGTGATCAATTGGTAGAGTTAGTTTGTTATTTTACCAAAGAACTTAACCAGTCACTTAATTCTTTACTTAATTTTTTTAAGTATGTTTTTGTACCGTACATTTTGTTATTTGATCTTTATGAAAGCCACAGTTTAATAAACATTTAACCACCACAGTAGGTTCTTTTTTTTTCAAGAAAAAAGCAATCCACTCTGTTTAATGAGGAGTTTGTTTTGTCTTTTTAAATTTACAGTAATTGTTTAAACCATATTTAGTTTTTTGCCTACAGTATGTTATATTATGTTCTTATTTCAAGGAAAAATATCAACGATCATTACAGCTGTAGTTAATACACTTTATGGAAGTAATTGACATGTAATTGTTATTTGTTCATTAAGTGAATATTATCAAAATGTTTTATTTTTGTAAAATGTAATTCATATTTGATATTTCACAATATACCTTTACAGCTAGTTGGTAAATTAGTCTTAATAGTTATATTTTTTTCTGTATTCAGAAATTTATGAGTATTGTGTTTTTCTTATTTTATTAAGTTCCCATTGAGTTACATATTTTTGTACAAGTGGATTTTTGTTTGGTACTATTTCCATTTTTTCCCCATTGTAATATTGCTCTCAGCAGTGTGTTGAAATCAAGATAAGTTTCTTTCTTTGTATTATACTGAATAATGAGGTTTGATGATATTAAATAAACATTTCATGTTTATATACTTTTTTTGTTTGTTAAATGGGCAATATTACTTACTAATGTAATCCAAATTTTACTTTAGTACATGTTACCAAAATTAGTTCACAATTTTTAAAAATATACTTTTATACTTACTGACTCTCGTTATTTCATTTCTTCTCCATACTTGATTTATACTTACATTAATATCATTGATAAATGGCACATCAAAAACATTTGAGTCTATGCACTATATTTAACCCATTGCACATGCATGTCATGATATCATGACGGAACGTTTTAGAAATTTGCCTGCATTCTTTTGTCAATTTCTCAGCACATTGCTCCGAAACCATGTAGGTTTATTTTATTTATTTTCAGCCAGCTAAAGCCATTGCCAGCTCCTCACATTTTATCTATCTCATATTTGTTTTATTATCCCTATTTTTAATGTTTAACCCTGTCCACATGTGATTAAAATACACCAAATCAATTAGAATACATATTTATGTTATTTAAAAGATAATCAGCTATCCTAAATTTAGTGAATATAAATTCCAAAGAGTTCTGACATACTTCTGAGACCCCACCCTACAACCCCACTAAAATTATGTACAGCATAAACCTGCAGTTGGAAGCCCAGCTAAGCAATTTTCGCCTTGGCGCCCTCCCTTCATTCATGCCAATAAATACATTCACTCACAGTAAAGATAATACATTCATTATCCTAAGTTAACCTAATTTTTACAAGAGGTATGTGGGTACTCTACATTCCACACAGACTGTGTCCACACATTTAACTACTCATGCAAATAAATACGATTGGGGAGTCACCAGTTTTTGATATTACACCAGTGACTACTGCCCTATCACAATGCAATATATATTATATAAACCTAAATAACCTAGATACTTTGGTGTGTTTGAGAGTAATTGATATTCCATCACAAGCACCGAATTAACGTTCATGGTAATAAATACATTCACTCAAAATAAGAATATTATTTCAACCTATATATGAAAGGATCCCTATATGCGACCATATCTGCTTCAAGTATCAAATCAGTTTTTTATAACGACTACTATGCCTTAATGCCCAGTAAGGTAAAAAATATTGGTCCTCAAGATGGAAATTTTTCTTTGTGCGCTGATTTTGTTTTGTATTTTATTAGTTTTCTCTTGAGTCCTGCAGGGTGCTTGAACGATGAACTTTGATTATGATGAACGGTGATGAGCTTTGGATCATTTTGGTCCACCTGGTCTGGCATTTTGCCATCTTCAGCATTTGGCCAGGGATACCAGCACGGTTTCGGTTCTGATTTCCTTTGTTTATTATTAATTTGACGTTTTGATAAAACAAAGTTTCAAAAGTAGAATATTTTATTATTTTGTGTGAAAAATTACAATTTTTATTACTTTTAGTATTATATACATATTCTAAAATATGAAAAACAAAATGATTAATATTTTGCTTATGTACATCGTCAGTGATAATGTTATATTAGTTTGAATGTTAAAGCTTAAAGTAATAGTAGATCAGAACAATATTTTATCATTATGAAGAAGTAAAAAAAACTAATAACTGAAAGACCAAGATCCCATCTGTCCTATACAGCGACCTATAATGAACAAATTAAGTGAATTAGCAATAGCAATGGAAATTTGGAAAGATTTTATTTTGTATAAATTATAACTTTTCTAATTTGTCATTTCATCTGTGAGGAATGGTTTCAGCTATAAAATTTGAAATAAGACAAAAACGTGATTACCTTCTTCATCAAATGTAGCCAATGTTAATTTCCTTAATTTGTTTGTAAGAAAGCTGTGAGTGGTATCTTTACAGGTTGCTGCTACGCCCAAAGGTAAATTTGAATCTAGAATGAAATTTAAACAAATACATTTACCTAATTAAAATCTAATTTTTATTATGACTTTTATTTTGTTAATTTTAGTCTATGGATAACTTGTTAACCAAATCATGTACAGCAGGCCAGGTTACAAACTTGAATAGGTTTTTTCGAGTAGAACTAAGTAGGCATTCTGCTCATTTGTTCTTATTCTACTCAACTACATCAATTTATCATCAGTATATCAGAGTAGACCGTGCCAGATGAAATCAAATACCTGGGAGTGTATTAATGTGTTGAGAGAAGTCTACCGTATGTATGCTAAAAATTAATGGACCTGATGATCCCTTGAGGAACACCAGGGAGGATAAAATAGACCAGAAAGGTTGAGGTTCCATAGGTAACAGAAAAAGTCATCAGATACATAGAATTTTAGTATGAAATAGTATGTACTAGAAAAAAAGGATTTGAATTTCAGCAGTTGAACCTGGTGCGAGGCACGATTAAACACCTGGAAGTGTGTTGAAGTGTTGAGGAAAGTATGTTGTACATATTCTGAAAAGTAACAGACCTAGGATCGAGGTTAGGTAGGTAGACGTAGTATGTACTAGAAAGTAGGGATTTTAGTTTCAGCAGTAGACCCTGGTACCAGATGTGGTTGAAGATTGTGCAAAATTGAAAATGAGGACAGACAAAACAATATAATTGTAATAAAAAATAATGTGAATAATTCACTAATTTCGTGGTCCGCTTGACCAATTAAACATTACATTAATTAAGGTTTTTAGTTGAGATGAAAAAAAGTTAATGGCACGAGAGGGATTCGAACCCACGACCTTCGGCTTGATACGCCGCTGCTCTACCACCTGAGCTATCGTGACCTCGATCCACTCGGACATCAACTCCCCATCTCAACCCCACCTTATGAGTTTTCCCTCCTTGAAAAATGGCAAAAGGACTATTTTTCATCTCAACTAAACCCTTAATTAATTGTAATGTGAATAATAATAATAAAATAAATAAGAACAGTATTTAGAGCTAGAGCCACACATTTTCCACCACTTTTTTGTTTAACAAAAATTGGATAAATTAAATTTATATTAATTTATGACCATGTTAGTATGTTTAGGCATAATACATTTTAATTTCAAATGTGTTATGTTGTTAAGCTGTCAAATTATAGTTAATTCTCACCATTTGTGTCAGTGCTTGATTCATATATTTGGGTATTCCTTTCCGATCCACTGGAAGACAATTTTTGTTTTGTATCCTCAACAAAACCAGTTATCAAGACATCCATCATAACTGCCTGTAAACATTGATCATAGTTTAATACAATGCAATTAAATAGATTTTTGTTTAGTTTATGTTACAAAAGTCAACATGATGACTAATGAACTATCTCTTCTCTTTATAAATGTTTTTACTAAAATAGAATTTAGAAACAATCATTACTATAATTGTAGATTGTGTGTGTTACACTAAGTTACTTATGTTAAAACGTGCTAAGCTTACTTGTTTTGAAAAGATTTGTAAAATTTTTGAAACTCTTGTGCCATTTTCAACTACTCGAAACTGAAGAAATAGACATGGTAAGCAATCCGGATTTTCTTCCTGTGAAGGCTTAGCGAAGTCCCATGAAAATTCTTCATATTTCAATCCAACTAATAGAGTCTGCTAAAAGAAATAAACTAGTAAATTCCACTAATTATATTATACACTACTGGTCAAAAATATCTCAACATTCGTAAATCTTGATATTTTATAGTTTTGACCATTCCACTTTTTATTTATTTATATTTTTTATTTTATATTCAATGAGAGACAATGGAGATTAATCATATTTGTCACAGTTTACTAACAGGAGGATCAACATTTTTCTTGGTTTATTTCAATGTCCCTTTCAGCCAGTTTTTACGTTCTGTTAGCTCTGAGTAGCAAGTTCTCTTTATTTTCTTTACTATGTTGATTCTGTTTGTGTAAATGAGCTGTTTAACCTGCTAGGAATCAGACAGAAACATCCCTCCATGTGAAAATGGAACTCATTGTGTCTAATCGCCTTGGCATTCATTATTCATTAGTTTCAAGAACTATAAAAAGGTACAGGCTAATTAAAAGGGTGATTGAGATATATAAAAAATAAAAAACCTAGCAAGAGAGGAGTAAGAGAAGGCCAATTGGCAAACAAATGGACATCTCTAGTTCAAAAGTAACAAGTACCAAACTAGTTGAAGTCATTCAACGGTAATCCCTTGAAAGGTGATGATTTTTTTTAAAAGGTTTTGAGGATGAGAAAGCTTATTTCAAATTCAGAGCCAAAGTGTTATACATATCTGGCTTATACAGAATGTTGGATGCAGACATATGAGAGCTGTATAAATTAATATTTCTTAAAATTGTTTAGCAAGATTTTATGGCGACCTTTCATAATCTGTTGGAATGAAACACCAAAGAATGTTTGACGAACCATTGTATTTCCTTACTTTGCTTATGATACTCAGCCGATCATAAAACTAACATGATCTTATGTCGGTTTGCTGCGCCAACAAAATTAGTCCTGCAGTTAGAATAAACATGCACTGGTTTCATTCTTCTACTTATGAAGTGTGGAAATGCTGCAAAAAAAGATCCTGAAATGACCACCAAATGCACTGCCTTGGTGCCCAGCATATATAAGTCCATGTGTCCAGCATATATGAGCACATACCTGACCTTTGAATAATATTTTATGTGTCCTGCACACCAATCATAGAATGTAGAGTAATAGAAAAATATCTTATTCACCAATGAAATGAATTTGGCCATTAACAATCCAGGTGGCCTGACTGAAGAAAACTGAAGAACGATATGGTATAAAACAGTGACATGTAGAGGAGGGTCTATCATGTTTTGGGGTGGCATTTTGTAACGTGTTCAGTGGCAAAAATTTCCTATTCTTAGAAACGTTATGTGACAACCTGCATGCAGGTCATCTGTCTGGCTGGTTGGCCAGTTTGGCCTTCATGCAGGTCACCACGGCACTGAATTTGTTAAAAAGGCACATATTGAGTTGACACTAACCCTATAATGCTCAGCCACATAAAACGTGTTTGTGAGTACCTGAATACCAGTAAATACAAAATTCTCAGTTTTAGTTATTCAGATATCGATTAACAGTCACTAATCTCTACACACATTCTGTTTTTTTTTGTTTTTTTTTTTGACAGAGAGTATACAACAAATTTCAATGCATTGCAGATGAGCAAACAAACAAAATTTACAATGATACTTACACACTGAACATTATTTATAACATAAACCCCTTGAGCATTGATACCAACTAAAACTGGAATATCTTGATGTGTTACTAATGATGTCAATCCTCTGACAGGTTGCTCAATTTGCCCTTGAAAAAAAGCTGACCTGCAAAAATAAAAATGTAATCATACCGATAGCTTATTATGGATACTTGTAATTGAAATTAATGAATAGAAATTTACCCATAGTACGGTAAAGTCCAGCAAAACTCTAGGTATTTTTTATGTAGTTTCCGATCAGGCAAACGTCTATAGTGTTCTAAAAGACGAACTTCTGGAGTGTCCTTACTGCTCAGCCTCAGCCACGAATTCCAACTTCCGTTTCTCATATGGGCAGGTAAAAATCGTCCATGTTGTTCCCTAAAATTGCCCGTTTACTTGACTGAAAAAAAGTTACTAGTGAAGCTGAACACATACCTGAAGAACTGCAGGGTGTGAAATTGTGGATTATATGGTCCCAGTTCTATTCTAGCTTGTATACTTCCCAACATAATATATTGGGCCATTTCGCATGGATAACGACCTTCAAGGATGTTGTATTTAGCTTCAGCATACAGCAGTTCTAATATCTTTTCATCTCTATTAAAAAACAAAAGATTGTACAAAGCAAAAGGATAAACAAAAATGTTCGTTTAACTGCTACTTTATTCTCTCCTCTTGATTTAATGGGAAAAAAACATTTCGTTGAAATGACAAAATTGGTTCGTCCCTCCGCTGTCTTGATTCAGAAGCATGAGCATACTTATTAAGCAATGAAGGCCACTTGGTGCGTATACTTAATGGTTTATGGTGTGGTTTAAGTTGAAGCTCTGAAATATAAAACAAACCACCACTATAAATCGCAATTACTACTAAAAAAGAAACCAAAAAGATTAAGAGTGTTATTTATAAATATGCAGAAATAGATCCGTAATATGCAATGGTGAAGGATTTCTGTCTAGATTTTTCTAGAACAGTAAGCATATCTGCTGATTTAATAACTATGCTGTTCTTATTTTAATGCACAGAGTTCTGAACATAGTTGATCATACACATATCAGTTTTGAAAGTCTTACTACATTTTCTAATATGAAAATTTTCTGTTAAAACAATGCTGTTTCAGTAGTAAAACGTACCAAGCAAACCAGATGTCATCCATAGTGTAAATATCGTTGCAGCGACACGAGTTAACCTTAACTGTTCCTCAGAGACGATGGATTGCACCAATTCGTGAACAGTAGCATTGACACCGTCCTCCACATCCATGCGGAGAGCAACATCTGTCATCATGTAAATGCAGACTTTCATACCTAGAAGAATTATGCATTTTAAAGAAATCTGTTTCATGGAATACTTTAGTTGTATTTGACAATTAATACAGTGAACATCCGTGAGAGGTAACATTTACAATATGAGTTATTTCACTTGAAATACTGTCAAGGAAAACTGAAAGGTGTAAAACTGTTTAGGGCAGTTATTTACAGATAACATTAGGCAACAAGTTGACCTTTTTTTAATGAATCACTTACTTTGAGAAGAAGAAATGAAAGTCTGTTCCTTAATATTATTTGCTTTATCCCATTCTTTATTTGAGGTGTCATAGCCTGTGTTTGATTTGTACGGTTTTGTGTGAATTCCGATTTCTTCAATTTGCGAATACTTTCCAAATGAAACACAGTCGTTGTGTTCAGTTTCATTTTCCCTCGGTTTAAAATCACTGAAACCAAGAGAATTCATTTTGTTTAGCTTTGAAACAAGTCGTTTTGTTCATCTATACAATTAAAAAATTAACAAAAAAAAAATATTTACATATTTGAGTTTTCCTATGGTTTGCCAACAGAACTTCACGAGAATGGGGCAAGTGTATATAAAATGAAAGGTATCTTCATCTTCCCCTTTGTTGTACATTGCGCACAAAAACCTCCTACCTTGATGTCAATCATACGGCTTAGAATTTAAGCTTAGCATCTCCGCCTTCAGATTAAATATCCATCTTGCCCTGAATAGATCCATCCTACCAGAACCTTTCAAGCTTGCACACTTTTCGGCCATCATTGTCCATTTATAGACATCTTTGCGACATTTCCACCTTCTCTCTAAGATAGCCTTGGCATCTTCCCTCAGTGATTTGAGGGATACTCTGTGAGAGTATTTGAACAGATGGGGACGGTCAACTTCCTTTGCCAAATCTAATACAACTGTCATAACTTTAAAAAGGAATTATCTTAAAAACGAGAAAGCTATGTATTTATTTTTTTAGTCTGTACACATTATTATGCATACAAATTTTTGCATAACATATGTTTTTTTCTAAACAAAAAAGCTGACACACTGGATAGAGGAGGATCTGCAAGACCATATGTAAGCACTGAACCTATTCTTGGGATAATGAAAACAAATACAGTATCCTCCATCACAGAATGGATTGAAATACAACAAAAGGAGAAGTTGATAAACTCTAATGGCGCTAAACACAGTAAACTTATGCTATCAACCATCACCAATACTGGCAAACTCACTGTTGCAGTTGGATGGGGCCAGACTCAGAGGAGTGATAAGATTATATACCAGTCATTGGCATCTTAGAAAACATCTTCACAACATGAGCATTTTCCATGATGACCCCATTTGTAGATTATCCAATGAGGAGGAAGAAACAGCCACCCATATCTTCTTCGAATGTGAAGCAACCGCTCAATGGAGACATGAACTGGGATTCAAAGAAAGCCCGGGGAATGGAATTACAGCAACGATAGTCATTGACCTAGTACTTCTTAGGAGAAGGATCGAGTTGATTGCACAGACCTAAGGAACTATGAAATACAATAAGCTGGATGGCTACAGTGCTGGAGGAATGAAAACCCCACCTCCTAGTCTCCTTTCATCATCGGATTGTCTGAGTGAACATTAAAGCTAGGATATTAGTACAATAGACTTCAATTTCTTTAATCAAGGATATCAACTACTCAGCAGAAAGAACAGCACAATTTATTTTGAATCATGCTTTTTTCAATAATTACCCCAATAAAGTCAGATTTTTTATGATAAACGTCTAACATTGGAAAAGTTTGAAATAATAGAAGGAATATTATTTTTTCCTTATACGAATAATTATTTCATTTAGCCTGATTGTGTCTTTTATTGAGTTATTGATATTTTTGATGGTTTTACCAAATGGCCAACACGGGAATAGGAAATGAATAATAAAAATAAAACAAACAAATTTAAAAGATATTGTGGACTGAATGAAAACAAATTACAGTAAATTGTTTATACTATGTAAGCACTTTGTTTAATCATCAAAATACACGAGAGCTAAATCCATGCAGGAGCGTGTAATACTAAAAAAAATCTTTATAAAACGGCAAAGGAAATATTATTACAAGACGAGAAATATGTAATATTGTAATACCTATATTGATCGGGGGGTTGAAGGAAACCCCTATGCCGTGAATATTCGACAGGGATGACGGTGACGAAACCATGGCTGGTGTCCGCCGATTGGTGTTCCCCGCTGTCCGACCCGGTGCCAGTGAGAGACATAATGGCCACTTTTAAAAAAGATTCAATGACGGATCATATCCTCTGGGAGAGGGTTGCGGGGTTGGTTGGGGTTGACGAGGGGGGTGGTTCACATTCGGGGAGGCCTTGGAAACGGGGTGGATCGGGGCGGGTCCGGTCGCATTTTCACGGGACGAACGGTCTGAGGTAGGAGGAGGCCCTGGTTCCTGGGGGAGATCGTTCCCTTATTTCTCGACGAACGAATCACTCAGAAGAAAATGAATGTCCCGAGGTTACAAATGGTCTTTCCACGGCCTTCGGGGTGAAATCAATTGAGGGGATTTCATTTTACACGGACAAATAACCCCTTTTCTTTCATTCCTCGTAGCCGTATACGCCTAATACGACTTGGATTTTAATTTTACAATTTGGATTGAACTTAAGCCAACGGATTAAGATGTAATATGACATGTATCACCAAGTATCACCTAGGGGATGTTTAGGGCGCTTTTTTTACAAACAGTCCCAAACGCAAAATAATCGTTTTTTATCTGATGTATTGCACATTTTAGAAATAATGGAACACTTCATACATAGTATATTCATATATAATTTCTATTTAATGTTAAGGCTAGACCTCGGACTGCCACAACATCCGAGGTGGGTGTTACTGGACGCCTGCTGGTAATTTACTGTCAATTACAAAAGCTGGAATCGCCGGTGGACTGTGATAAGTGATAAGCTCAACTCTGAGCATGTGCAGATTTGAGGTTATATATGGTATTGGGGTGAGTAGGTAGATCAGCAGTATAGATGGTATAAAGGATAGGACCAAGGATACTCCCTTGTGAGACACCGGCTTGTTTTGGCCTGATTTCAGAGAACTCGTTACCGCACCTCACTCTGAAGCAGCGGTCTGTTAGGTAGGATTTCAGGATAAGGAGTGGGTAGGAAGCGTTTGAGTTTATAAAGTATGCCCGGGTGCCACACCCTGTCAAAAACTTGTGCTACATCTAGGAACGCACCCAGGCAATACTCTTTGTTCTCAAGAGCAGAGGAAATGGTGTCCACAACTCTAAAACCTTGTTGGGTCGTAGAATGGTGTGGGCGGAAGCCAAATTGGTGAAAGGGAATAATATTATAAGTATCTAGGATAGGGATTAGTCGTTTTAAGAGGAGCCTTTCAAGGATTTTGGACATTGTAGGAAGAAGGCTGATGGGTCTGTAGGAGGATATCTGGTCGGGAGGTTTATGAGCTTTAGGAATGAGGATAACGACGGAAAATTTCCATAAGAGGGGATAATAAGTAGTTCGTAGGATGGCGTTATATATGGTGGTTAAGAAGACTATGGCCTTTCGTGGTAGGTATCGGAGTATGGTGGAGGTGATTAGGTCATGCCCAGGAGATTTTCTATTTGAGGATTTGTGAATGTAATATTTTACTTCAGAAGGATGAAAAGGTTTGAAGGGGAGATGAAGTGACAGTGGAATATTAAAGTTATCCATTACATCTTGTGTGTGAGAGGCATCGCTTATGTTTTCGTGAGGAGTAAATGTGGATTCTAAATGGGCTATGAATAGGTTTGATTTCCCTTTGTCATTCCTGACCCAGGATCCATCAGGTAGACGGATGGGGGAATCAACTGCTTGATGTTTTAATAAGGTATATAACACCTACGCGGACGATTCCGCAATTTTGTTTTCTAACTTGAATCCTACCCAAGCTACCTCTAATATCCAAGAACACCTTGAGCTCATCGAAGGTTGGTGCAAAAAGTGGAGGACAAGATTAAACGGAGAAAAGTGCATCCGATGTACGTTCACTTTGCCCTCCAGCAGACTGACGTGGAATCCCCACACAATACCTAAAAGACAACAACTCAACAGAATACTTGGACAATTATGCAGACTACTAGGACCAAAATCCGGGTTGACCATCAGCACTAAACTGACCTTTGGACATACGGTGTGGAACTGTGGGGTTCCGCCAAACCATCCAATATCCAGCGTATCCAGTCCTTCCAATCAAAAGTCCTCAGACAAATCGTCAAAGCTCCTTTTTACGTCTCTAACCTCACTATCCACAAAGACCTCAACGTTCCTTTTGTCCACGAACTGATCCATTCCCGATTCCAAAAATTTCATACCTACCTATCAATTCATCCTAACCCTACCGCTAGAGCCCTCTCCACATATTCCCATCCCGAGAATCCACCACGTTGCCTAAAACGACGATGGCTCCGAGATCTCGTTGCCCCTTATTCCATTAAAATGAGTGCCAGCACCGAGCAGTGATCGAGGAGCGGGTGCAGCGCTGGCATCAGTGTTAGTGCTGTGACCGAGCGGTGAACAATATACATTGTGATCACATTTGTATTATGTACAAGTATGTATAGGCAAAAAAAAAGACATTTGAGTATCATTGACCATTATAGGCTCAACAAGGTACAAATTGCTTAACATATACACTGACAGCCAAAAAATTCTGCCCATTTGTAATATAACTAACTTGATTTGTATATATTGTATTTTTATATGTTAATCAAAGTTTTGCTAAGGAAAATGAAAAAAAAAAAATTAAAAGAAGACGGACAGATAAAATTTGTTTTGATTTTGTTTTAGATTTTTAATTAACATTTCAATATCGCGTATTTCCTCCTCTTGCCTTAATTACATCTCGAAGACGAATTTGGTTTAAAACATAAAGACATTATATATCTGCCCTCAGTATTGCTCGCAAATACGATCATCCGGATTTTCTGGTATTTCAACCTTGACTTCCTCGGTTTCCCAAATGGTCTTAAGTCTATGTCAGAAACTTGGAGATGGGTAGCGACTACTGAAGCACTCGATGGTGATACCTGATCTTGATTAACCTTACCGAATATAACCCATCCAAAGATAGCCTCAATTGCGGAAGGTAGTAGAAGTACATACACTGAGGGGAAAGCCTTCCGCAATCATAACCATCGGATACCAATATCTCCATGAAACTGTCTGCACCAATAAGCATATCTATAGGAGCTGGAGAATCAAATTTATTATCAGCCAAAGGTAGGGATTTTAATTGATCAAAAGAATTATTGCATAGAGGTGACACTGGTAACGGATTCGAAACTGAGGATAATATAAAAACTGATAATTTAAGTGACATAAAGGATGGTAAGAGAGATTTAAGAGTGCATTTCACAATACCATGTGGTTTAGTAGAACAATTTCCGATTCCTATTACAATTACACCTTCAGATCTAACTTCTGCGCTAACCGCGAAGAAATAGCTGAAATCTGAGATCTTGAATCTATGAGTGCACGAACTGGCCAAGTAAAACTGCAGAGGGCGTTATCAATAGGTTGAACAGAAGGATTAGTTTGCGAAGGAGTAGTGTCTCTCTTAACAGAGGGACCCGGCGAAGATGTATGGAGCAATGTATGATGACGAGAATTGTTACAGGTCATACAAGAGCGACTGGATGAGCACCGAGACAATTGAAACAACGCTTGAGCCTTCTAAATGTTTGATAACGTTGTGAGGTGTCTTGTTGTAGAAAATCAGTAGTCCCCAAAAAGAGTTGAAAACCGTTGGAATGGTCAAAATCGACCGAGCCATTTTCTAGATATAATAATATTAATAATGAAATACTTAAAAATGCTGGACCTCCAAATACGATAACTAGGTCGAAAATGGAGTTCAAAACGTTAAAAATGAAAAATTTACCAGGCTGTTGTCCGGATGTGATGATCCAATATTGCCGACGAATTACTGCACGGCCAATGGTCCAGAGGATAGAGATAGAAGGTCATACTTCAAAATTATTTATTTACTGTTCATACACATGGATATATATATTCACAAGTTAGAAACGAAAGTAGCAGTAATATAATACTTTACCTCTCGATATAATTAAATAAAAATTATGTAATGTCTCACAACTTAAATGTTGGGAAAACTGGACTACAAAAACCCAACCCTAAGGGAAGGTGATTCATGTAACAATGAAGCTAAATTTGCGTTTTTTGGTAGCAAGATGGGGTGTTTAGAAGGAAAAGGTAATAGAGAGTTTGTCAGACGTCCACCCTCTCTGAGGACCCCATATTCGTCCAAGATAGGATTGAGGGAAGGAGATTCGTAGGAGGTTTTTTCTGCTGCCTTTACGTTATTTTAACACAGGCCATACGGGATTTTTCTAGCTCTGACATTGACGAAAGCCCCGCAAATGGGGATGTGCCTTGACCACTACGTCGCAAATTATCTATATATTGTAGGACATAAGCAAACACCCTTTGCATTTGAGAAAATTTTGAAAACTTTTCGAGGTTTTGATATAAATCATTGACAACAGTGGTCTTTGCAATGTGTACATGAACAGGTTGACCTGTTGAATTTGGTTATGGGTATTGTTACGTAAAAGGGAGGAACATAAGAACTGCCATCTTTCCAGCCAAAGAGTATGACGGATAGGACCTCGAGGTGTAAGTCCTCGAGAAGCGCAGTCCTATGAATTTTCATGCAAACCAACATGACTCCATTCATAGATAGATGTGCCCTCCAATATCTCCATCGCACGACCGGCAAGAAAGGTCTTTAATTGGTGGGATAGCGTCGACAACCAAGTTAGAACAATTCGAGAGTCCGCGTAAAAATGTCGAGAGGTTATATGAACATCCCTTGTTGGTAATGTTTGAACTAGTCTGTAGAGTCGCGCAAAGCTTTAATGGAGGAATAGAGAGAGTCTTCAATGGGGCAACTCTACTTTTAGCTTTAAGAAAGGACACATTCACGCTATCGGCATGGTAAAATTGTAGATATATGTTGGCAACGAAGCCGTTTTCCGATGCATCGCAAAAGCCGATCAAGCGACATTGTGAATGCCGAGTACCGAAGTAACGAGGGGCTTTAAGAAGATTAAGTTCTTCAGTCTCAGGACAAAAAGTCTGCCATAGGTCCGACGGAGAACCGTTTAGGGTATCGTCCCCATCTAATTTGCAGGCCACAGGCATTGCAACAAAAGCTTCAGCAAGAAGGTGGTGGGTGTAAGAAAACCTAAGCAAAAATCTTTGTTACATAAGAAAGAATGGAAGAATGCCACTCCATCGAATGGTTGAACATAAAATCCAAAATTAATTAAGGTTTTTAGTTGAGATAAAAATGTCAGTGTCACGAGCGGGATTCGAACCCACGATCTTCGTCTGGATTCGCCGCTGCTCTTCCACTTGAGCTATCGTGACCTCGATCCACTCGGATCGTAGTTTATCACAACTAAAAACCTTAATTAATTGAAAGATATTAATTGGTCAAGCGGACCACGAAAATTAATT